TGAAAGACTAATTCTACTTCTGACTCTGCCCCTCCACATGTCTTAGGCAAGACACTTTTCCATTTGCCACACTCTGTTCTGTCTGCAAAGCACAATGTCCTCAGAGAGAGGAGCACCACTCACCCTGCTGCTCTGCACAGCACAAAGAAGTGCCAAACACAAACCTCCAGCAAAGCCCCAAAGGGAGTAAGCAAGGTCTTACTGGACAAATCAATTTTTCAAGTTGATTTTTCAGGGTTATTTTACCTTTTTTTCTGCTTTATACACATACATTCCTTTCATTGTATTCCCTCTTAATTGCATATCTTTACCAAAATCATATTGGTTCTGGCCTCTCTTGGCTTTTCTCTTTTGCCTTGGGCCTGGTGATACCTCTCTAAAATGAAAAGATAAATTATCCAGGAATAAAATTGTTCCTGTAACAGAAAGTAAAGTGACTGCAGCTACCCAAACCCAGCTTTGCTCTGCATCCCAGGGTCAAGTTGAATCTCCAGCCACCAAGAATGCTGCTTTACAACAAATTTTTCAGGGCATTCTGTGCTGAGCTTTTTTCCAGAGCATCTCTTTTGTTCATTTGGCTGGTGTCACTTCCCTCTCAGGGAACTTTTTCAGTACAACAAAATATTTATCAATGCTGAATGCTTTGTGAAGTAGAAGTGGGAAGATTCTCTTCAGTGGAAGATATTTAAAATATTTCACTTTCCAAGTAGCTCTGTGAATACAGGGAAGAAATGCATAACTTAAACAAAAGGAGTTACTGACCCAGAAGTGATTAGCATTAGTGTAAAGCTTTCAGACCCTTTTTCATCTTATTGATTCTAAGCAGAATAAATCCGTAAATGATAATAGGGCTCAATTTAAATTACCTACAGCAAGTGCTGCTTTTCAGCTCTCATCAGACAATCATGCTGTTCAATCAGCTCTATTCTGTATGTACAAAGCAAATTAATGTGTATAAAACAGTCGTAACTCAGGCCAGTTTTCAACAAAAGAATCTTTTATGTAGCACACAACTGCCTTTTATCGACATGCTTTTAATTGAACTTCTAACGCTATATCCATATTCCACCTAATTATAGCAGAAAATTCATCTATATTTTAAAATACTGACCATACCTTTTCCTTTGTAAAGTTCCCAGAACTTTACCAGGGTAGGTTATTATATTCTCATTTATGGTCAGATTTGTTTAGAAACACTGAAAGGGAGCACGAAGGCAATTCTGAGCCTATAGCAGCCAAGCAATGTCTCAAGGACAATTACACTGGTGCACTGAATCAGCAAGGGCAGCTCCTCACTCCTTGAATCCAGCCTCTAAATGTACCTCCAAAAACCAGGGAGAGAGCATTGCACAAGAGGCATTGATAGAGAAGCCTCCAGTCTGCAAGTATTCTCTCTTAAGCAATTTGTTTCTGTTTCAAAAGGCATCTTTTGTGTGTCTCAGTCTCTTTACTTGTGTAGCTGAGTTTACCAGGGAACAGGCAGACAGGATACCACTTCTTTAAAGGGAGGATTCCTGGGACAACAGAAGCAGCAATGGAAAGAAAGAGAGAATTAAAGGTGGACTCTGGAAAATACTTCTGGTTCAATCCAAGACATTTAGCCTGTGGAATTATCTTTGAGAGGGCAGCAGTGCCAGTGCTGAGAGAGATTCCTTGTACTTGTCTCTGCCATTTCAAGCAGGATGGCTTAGAGAGAGCTAGTGAGGGATTTTACAGAGATGAAGGAGGACAGAGAACAGGCCTTTTTATTTCCATTTCAACATCACCTAGTCCAGACTTTGCTGTGGGTAGGAAAAATCCTGTTGTCACCTTCCACAGCCTTTGCAATAAAGCCTCAAGCTAAGACAACAGCACATATTCTTCTTTAAGAACCATGCATGCCATACCATGGTTACCAGCAGCAAAGGGCAAATAAACCCAAGGCTAAAATCAACTAAACTGTTGACATTGATTTTAACATGGGTAGAACTCCACCTCAAGGATGTACATTGCAATTACTCAAATTTATTGCCAAGCTCTTCTGACAGGTCTGGTCTCTGCTGACACTACATATGGGACTCCCATTTAATATTTTGCTTTAAACATTTTTCTATTAATCAGTCATCTCAAATAGAGATTAAGGTGGAAGACATGAATGCAGCCACCCTTAGGTGCACACATGCAGTAAGTAGCAAGGAACAGTAGAAAGTAGAAAGGCAAGTTCTTCAGAAGAACACAAATGTTCCTCCAGATCAACACATACAAAAGAAACCTGTAGTCTAAATTATTCAGTAAATTATTCCCACCACACAAACACACTTGCCTGGCATTCAGATGAGCAGGTGGAGCATGGCAGCCAGTGCTCCCACTCAGGGCAGCAGCTCTCTAAAGGAGTGACCTTCTCTTCCTCTTTCTTCACTTCTCCTTTCTTGAGGAGTTTGTCAGGCACTGCAATTAAAAGTCTGTGAGTACTTGTGGAGTTAAAGTAAATAGATGTTTAATCTCTCTGGGGAAATATTTAAGAAGTGTACCCAGATGTATTTACTGAAGATTTCACTAATTCAAATAAATCAAGTTAAAATTACAGACCAGACTGGCTATTGTCAGTTTTCTGAAAACCTTGCAATTCAAAAAAGCAAATGGAAATGGTAAGTTCATTTGTCCTTAGCTTTTTGACTGGGAGCAGAGCTGACATTGATGTGGTGAAAGACATTAGTATTTAACTACTTGAAGAAATTCACATTACCACAGTGTCCTTTTAAATTGCTGTACTTATGTTCGCCACATAAGTTGCTATTAGCAACTCTAAAAAACAAAAAAAAACAACCCTTATATTACAGTCTTGAACATATCAAAGGTTTATTGTACTATATTCTTTGGACCTTTTTCACTCAATATTTGAAATAGAATTAAAATGCTATCCCTGAAAAAGAACTATTTCTTCTAAAGTGTATATATCACTCACTGTAAAAACAGATTTTATAAACGAATGTAGCTGACAAGTAATCTCCAAGTTTTATATCATAAAGTAAAACAAGTCCTTGTGAGAACATTGACTTGCCCCTTAAACTTGATTTTCCAGCTTTTAAGCTAAATAAAAGTTTATTGGTAAAATCCTTATATTGTAGGGATTTTGATTTCTCTAAAGCATGTGATAGTTCCTGTTTGCCCTTCAACACTTTATTTGCATATCACTTTTCCAAATTTATAGTACCCTAAAAGTTCTAGAGGAGTAGAGTTTAGATGTTTTATATTTAAAGTTGAAGCAAACATTTTATCTAGGACATATCAAACCCTTTGAGAGAATCTGCCTTAAATATTTAAGTAATGATTCTCTAGGAATAGGGCAGACCACCTGATATTAAAAACAAAATAATTATTTTAATGTCTGATTTACTAAACAAAAAATGTGTCTAACATTCAGATTTGTAGGGCTGAGCTTTCCATTCAGGTAAAAAACATTCTATTGAAATAGCAAAAAAATCCTTGTTTCTGAAAACACTCACACGCAGCATTAACAAAACAGAGTGACAACATGGCTCAAATTCAAAAAAAAAATCAACATTTACCATACTTTTACACAAGAGGATCAAATTAACTCAAATGAAGAAAAAAGGTCCAATCTGGTAGCAGTGCAGTTTTAAAGAAGGAGCAAAATTATTAAGGCAGGAAGAATGTTGGAAGGTCCTGCTTCCCTTTCAACATGTGTCAGAATCCAGGTTAGCTCAGAGCATTGTGTTTTCCTCTCTAAGAACTGGGCAATAACACGTCTTGGACCTACAGAAATAAACACAGGATCCACTTGCTTTGGTGCAGAAGCAGCTTTGCTGCTCTATGCATACTTAGATGCAAGCGTCTAACTTGTTTAAGTAACACAAAATAAACAGAGAATGGAATTCTTTCACTGACATTATGAAGTGTCTCTCACTGGCAATTTATATCTAAAAATATAACTAGTCTCCAAATTTCCCTTTATGAAGTTTGGAGCTTAAGTGCTTTGCAGCAGCACAGAGTCCCATGTTCCATTAGGCTTCATTATCAGTAATATTCTTTATGGTATTTTAGTCAGGGGGACACAGTTTATTAACTAACCAGGGGGAAGGAACAAGACAAGAGTGACAAGAAGAGAAACCTCAGTGGCAGAAAATTGTTCACATCATATGCATCCAGCAAATGAGTTTATCAGTTTGAAAGATACACTTTCCCCATCAGTGCCAAAACACTTCACCAAAGAAATGTAATTAAATGTGCCTTCAGGAATGGGCTAAAATACTGCCAAAGTGGGGCTTTTAGGTCTCAATTTAAAGTGAGACTTTAAATTCTATTCTGTGGAGTTAAAGATGGACCAAAACTCCCTTTTCTTTTACAAAAACACTCTTACCTAGACCACCTCCAAAAATACTTTTTAAAAAATTATAGCTGGGCTCAGATTCTTCTCAATTCTTTTTTCTGGCAGTATTGCTAAAGTTAATTTTTGGTGTCTCAGCAGAACAGATCCTAGATTTCCATGCTTTTCTAGTTGCAAAAAATGCTGCTTTCCTCTGGAACAGAGAATCTAGATTTAGTTCAATCACTACATTAATTTTTCTAATGCATTCCAGGTCTCTGGAGACAGGTGGTTCAGGATGGAGAGAAATAAATATAAGTTGTTTCTCCATGGTGCATTCTGTTGCCTCAGATTTACAAATCCATATTAAGTAGTTAATGATTTATGTATACACTGAGCATTAGCATCTTTGTGCCACGTTAGTCATCAGATCACAAGTGGCTCTAAAGAGGCTTTAGTCAAACAAATGAATATTGGGTTGAATGATTCAGATCACTTCATGCAAACAGTTCCAGCATGTTCACATCGATCATCGCTAAACAGCACAGAGGCAGCAGGCTCAGTTGTAAAGATGAGGGAAAAAACCAACACTATGATGGGAGCAGCAACAAGCCCCTGGCTTCTCTTTGAATTCAGATTTTATCACACAGATATGTATGCCCTTCTCCAGATGTATTTTCCAAGCTTGCAAGCATTCACTGCAGATAGTGTTTTTATTAAAGCTTCACCGATGCCATTATTAAATTGCAGGACTGTGTCTCTTCCTTTAAACACAACTTTCAGTTCCATAGTCACAAGAAACCCTGAAGCTGTACATACATAACCAGAGACCAGCTATATATATGCATACATGCAAGTATTAATCATTTTTCTTTTAACCTAATTCTTAATGCAGAGATTTAACTTGGGATTTTTTAGACACTGAATAGGCAATACAGGGCAGGTGTGAATTCTTCATTCTTTCCAAAGTTTCTTGTTGTACATTTTGCTCTTTAAACCAAAGTTTCCTCTGACGGTTGGCTTTTCTTTTTGGGTTGGCTTTTCTTTTTCTCAGTTTTGATACTCACAGTGAGTAATTTTATCACCTTTGCATTGTCTTCACTGACAAGACCAACCCTCAGGAATCTCTGACTCAGAAAACCAGGGTGGAGGAATGCTGGAAGGAAAACTTTCCCTTAGTCAAGAAAGACTGAGAGAACACCTGTGCAAACTTGACATCCACAAGTCCATGGGCCCTGAGAGTTCCAGTAATGAGCAGGGTTTACTCTGCAACAAGGAAAGTAAAATTGTCTCAAAAACAGAGTTAACTTGCAGGCATGGCCTTAAAAAGAAAAATTCAGAGACAACTTGAATAATACCAGTGTTCAAGGTTAAATTAGTTTTGTTCTATAAATTCAAGATAATTACTGCAAATGGTTTGGCCTGACCAAGTAGAATAATTACATTTCAAGGAAAGGAGCAGTTGTAAAATTTTTGTTTATATTCTGCTTTGAAGTGACATCAGAAATCCTTTAACAAAAGTACTCCTCAGCTGTATTCCCAGACCCACATTGACAACAAGGCAATTCTCTGAATGTAGAGAAGATAAATTGTGCTAATGCCACTAAGCAAACATGACATTTTTGTTGTACTGTGATCATAGATGAGTCACCAAGTAAAATGATTAATCACAAATCCATGTTACTAGGCTCATTTAGAGATGATTCTCCCTTCACAAAGCAGGTAGAAGCTCTAAATTTATAGGCTAATGCGTTTATTCTAGCTGTAGCAGTCTCATTATTGGTCTTAAGCATCAGAGTCTGCAGGAAATTTGTGTGCAATTAAGCTAAAGTGATGACCTCCTTATATACATTTTGGCACTTTTTTATCTGACAGTCTGTTGTGCAAATATATAAATGAATTGAAGCATTACATAGAAATTACAGCTAATGCAATACTAAGAAAAATAGACATATCCCCAAACTTTAATACATATGCCAGTAAGGTATCTCGACCATAAATAACACTCATTTTATCAGTCTACAAACGGGTTTATCAGTCCACAAATGGGTTTGTGCTAAGATTTCAGACTGCTTCATTTTTGCTTGGCTAACATTTTTAACTTCTACAAACAGTTTTATGACCTAAATTGTTTCAGGAGGAAGTGCATGCATTTGTGGAGCAACATGTTTATAAGTCAAACACACATTGTGAATACTTTCTATTTGGTAAATAAACTCACCTTATTTAAAAATTACGAAGAAAACAATATTCTTTCCAACTTCATAAAGGCTTGCTAGCACCATGGTGCTTTCTCCATCACCTTGAATTTAATAAAATTAAATACTCACGTAAACTCATGTATTTTTTTATCTGCCTACCAAATTAGTCAATACAAAACTGAAGTGATCATTTCCATCTACCAAGAGCAAAAGGTTATCCAGTCCTAGACATGATAGGCCCTGGTCCTCTGTACTATCCTAAAGAGGGATTATTCCAAAGCAGAGCTGGCTGAATATCAAAATGTTTTAAAGAACATGAAATAAATACATGATAATCTGATGAACTTTAATGTTTAATTATGCTTGCAACAGGGAGTAATTAGTTGAATATAATAAAAATACTTCTGAGTGTGTGGTGAAAGTCACTTAGCACCATAATCACATTTTAGACCCTCCTAACACACAATGTTTTTGCTTTGTTCAGCAGTAAAAAGGAGATGAGATACAGAAGTGGTCTGTGTGCTAGAAGAGCAGAGAGGAGTTGCCAAGTAGAACCACCCAGGAGCTGTGAGATCCGAAGCAAAAAGAATTTACAGTAACTGCTAAGCAGCTGACACTGCTCTTGCCAGAAAGTACCAGGCAGGTAGTGAACACACCACTGTGCTTGGCTTTGGAACAAGATCAAGAACAAAATCTCTGGATATGCACAAGCCTGCCCTGCCTGAGGAGTATTTATTGCTCAAAGCATAAGCCCATCATCACAGTTCTTGTACATTTCCAGTGCTCCTCAGGATCATAACTGCTCCACTGCATCTTTAAATGCATCTGCAATGCAGGAGACATGAAGCCTACAAAATTATCTGAACTAGGTTTAGATGCTGTCCATACCTGAAAATTGACCAGCTATTAAAGTGAACTAATTTCACCTCTTCCTTTGCTCCTACTAGGCACAATGGAAAGTAAAACAAAACCCTGTAACTAATTATTTATTTCTACACTGAAGAAAGCAAGGACTAAATCAACTTCTAAACTACTAAGAAAGGAAACAAATACCATGAAATAAGAATTCCCTAAATAACAAGGATATAATGAATTAAAACTATGTTTTCAGCAGCTCTTGCAACGAACTGCCATGTTGTACTCACTGTTCTCAGGAGGTACAGACAGGAACCAGGTGTCAAGAAAAACAAGTTATGTAGAAATAAACAGCTATCTGCCTCATTTTAAATCTCTTTATTCTGTGATTATGATTTAAAACTTTATTCCCTCCTTTCAAGATTATTTGGGCACACAACTTTCCTAGAGGAAATACCCTACAGTTGAAGACTTTCGAACCTGCTACTGTGTTTATGACAGCTAATGACAATAGAGATGGCTGTGCAATCACACAGAAGTGCTCAAAGCCTTCCTACTTATGCACAGAACCATTAAAAGCTTGACTTCCGAGAATGAACCCAAGATACCAGGGAGAACTCCTCACATGTTCTCTGCAGTTACACATGTTAGTAAGCTTTTTGAAAGGCAGCAATAACTGTCAGATGAGCAAAGAGAGAAACAGAAATGCTACAGAACAACTCCCTTTGAAGCAGGACTTTCCTTTGCTCCAAAGGAAGCCAAATTCAGAGGTTATTATTTTTAAAATAAATAAATAAAGCTAGTCAAGGTACATCTTTCTGCACTGCCTCCCAGGGACAGACAGCTATGCACATTATGAGACCCAGCACATTACAAGTTGGCTGTTTGTTTTCTATCATCACCTAATATTTTCAACTGCAAAATTCTCATCTCCCAGTGAGGAAGTCTGAACGCAAAATAGAAACCAGGGAATTTAAACAGCAAAGCAGTGCATACATAACACTAAACAGAATTGTACTTCCATCTTTCAGTTGCAATAAGCATGATCAGACAAGAATTAGCAATCATCATGAATAGAAAAGGCTAACTTTTCTCTTGGTTACTGGAAATGTTATTATTGTAAAACTGACCCTTAACAGACAGATCTCTACTTCAAAAACAGAATAAGAGGAGGAGCAAATCCCCCTACCATCTTTTACCAGGGTGTAACAGAATAAAGAAAAGCTGGCAGCTGTAGTTTAAAATCCAGTAAATGACCACGGTGCTCCCCCTGGTGACAAGAGATGAGCCAAGGTACCTGCCGTGAGAATCAGCACCGTGCTGTCACACTCCAGCATCAGCCACTGCAATAAATCCTCCTCCTCCGAGAAACTTAGTAGCTATAGTGCAGTTGCTTCCCCTGAAGTAGCATCAGAAAGACTCTAATGCCACGATGAATTATCATGCTTTAGCTTCAGGAATGTGTTCTGCATTATCAGAAATAAGTTCATACACCAGTGATGCTGCCAGGTGTAAGTCAGTGCACCATGGAGGAAAAGCATGAAATGAGATTTCAGAACAGAAATGTGGATTTGGATTTATATTTATATTTTATTTCAACACTAGAGAAACAATTTTCAATGGATGAATGTTCCAGAAGGAGGTGAAAAAAGGTTTTCTACCCAGTAGGGCATGGGATCTTTAGGAACATATACAAAGGATCTGAGGAAACCAAACTGTAACTAGTTTTGTACTGGAAAATGTTTGGGTGAAGTGTACAGTTCAGGCCAGTATAGTAAGAGTGGTTGAGGACAGCAAGCCCATAGCCAGTGACACCTTTCCCTGTCAATTAAGTAAAGCAAGCTTATCAACTGGTTTTGCTTCATTCAGCTTGTGCCTGAATAGTGATCAGCCATCAAATGAGACTTCCTCAATGCAGTGAAACTGGCTACACTTGAGAGAGAAATGAAGAAATGCTTAAGGATGGCTAGTAAGAGATTCATAACATCACTGGTTGTGCCCATGTAACCCTGGTGACAGGCAGCTGCTTGCCAGCAGATCAGACCCACCTGTGCAACTGGTACCCTGACAATGAACTGCTGCAACAGGACAGGCTGGGAGGGTTCTGGGAGTCAGAGAGTGCAAACATCAGGTTCCCTGCAGCTCCTGGATGCTGTGCAAGGAGACATCAGCCCTTACAACAAGCCAGCATCCTAGTGGGTCAAGGTCCTTGGAAACATTGCAATTTGGTTTTTGTTGCATAACCTTTCACACTGTCACCCACCTTTGGGCGACAGCAGAAAAAGCACATAAGCACGCTGCTCAGGTGAAGGCATAGCACCACAAGAGCAAGAGCTTCCACACTTCTGTTCACAACAATTAAAGATCTCTCACAGTTTGACAAGACTTGCTGTGATATGCAACATTTTTCACCCTGTCCTTCTCCATCACTTGACATCTACAGAAACTGGGATAGCAACACTTGGTTAGTTTTAATTTCTGTCAGTGTTCGATGAGAACTCCCAGAAGTGTTTGATGAGCCATAGCCAAGACAAAGAAGGCAGTTTTAGATCCCTGAGATGCTGCAGGAAACCTTCTGCATGCTGAGGAATACATGCTTATGCCAGCTATCCTCTTCTCAGGTTTCCAGGATTTTTTTACTGGATTCCAAAGGGAAAATGGAGGTTTTGCAATATTACACTTCAAGCTTCAGTGTTGCAGAAGGCAAATTTTGTTTAAGGACATGACTTCTATAAGCTGGCAAATGTCCTCACTCTTGCCTATTCAAAGACTGCCATATCCTTGCTGGTGCTGAGTACATATATAAAAAACATCTCTGGCATAGGAATCAAAACAAAGGACAGACAGCTTTAAGTATGTGACCTTGGATTATACAATTCACAGCAATTAATTGCTTCCCTATGAAACAATTCTTGCCAGATTTTGCAGTTAACAAACCCCTTTAGCTAAGAGGGGACAAGTTTGCTTTTTGCCATCAAGAACAGTTAAGATGTGCAATTTTATTTGTATTTTCTGCCTGAAGAGTGACTTGACAGGTCCTGTACATGAATCCCCCTGCTCTGAAGAAAACATCACATCATTTCCTAAGAATATCTTTGCTATATCATTAATTTTAATTCCAACCTGTACTTCAAAATGCACATAACTATTTTCAAATACAATGAAAACTTGAATTCAACAGCATCAGAGCTTTCAGTAAATCCTTCACAACTTCAGAAAAATCTCTATAAACATTGTGTAAAGTAGATACAGAATGTACAGAGAACAGTTTTCTATACAAAAGTGCATTTTAGCAATACAATTAGCAGAGAACCTGGAAAAAAAAACCAACTCAATTTAAGCAATACCATATACTCTAATCTATACCCTCATCTCTCCCCCCCCAACAAAAAGAAAAAAAAAATCAACCCCTCACCTTCCCCTTGCTTTGGTTATTAACTATACTCAAGGCTTCCATATTTAAATTATTTTTTTTTACACTGGAGAATTTATTTTTAAAGTTAGCCAGATGAGAGAGAATGCTAATATGATTCATCAGAGTTAACAGTCAAAATAGACAAACTTTGAATATTACTTAGATTTGCTCTTGATAGATTAATAAACTAATCTTTGCAATCCTTAAATGGACAACTGTTGACTTTTCTTGCCCAAGAATTACAAGATCAGTAAGCTTAAGAAAATTAAACCAATAAATCTAACAACATCTGCCATGAAAATCTGGCTTATATGAATTAACTTTAAAAAAGCTCCCAAAAGAGTCATGTTTATTAATATTTATAGACTAATGCATCAACTGATTTCAAAGTTGAAACAGTGTTAGGAGAAAAGAAATGGCTTCAGGCCATTCAGCATAAGTGAACAGTAAATATTACCATTTTGATCTTTCTGTATTGTATATGCACTCTGATGTAAATTCATGTAAGTTCAAGCAGGTTGGTTGGTTTGTTTTGTCTCCAGAGAATGATCTTCACAGGTTTCAAACCACAATATGAGAACTAAAATTTGAGCCCAGGAAAGCCTTGCAAATGCTTTTCCTGTTCTTCCAAGTAAGCACCCCATACTGAGCATATTGTAACCATCTTTTTATCAGCTTTCCAGATTAAAAAAAATAAGTATTTTAACAAAACATGACATTAGATAGATACACAGAAATCAGCCAAGTTTGTCAGGCAGCCTTCTTCCTCATATTTAAAATCATATTAGAAAATAATGTTCTCTCTTGTTTACAGTCCTATTGCAATCAGACTTTCAGTGCTCCTTCTAAGCCTTTTAAGCGAAAAAGTTACCATGGAAGCAAACTGTTATCATTACAGAGTGTAAATTGTTTATATCCACATTGCAGTGGGGACAAAGTTGCTACAGACACAGTTTCAGTACCATGAAGCCATGTAACTATGAGCTTTTTCCTGTGTGTCACTGTGCTGCTTTTAAGCTTGACATTTTTCCTCTATTAATAAAAATCAGGGATTTGATTAATTTTTTTTAAGAAAAAACACAATAAGGATGCATTATTTTAGTTGTCTGTTACTCCTCCTCATCAGAACCCAGTAGTTACACCTGTAGCCACAAAGGCCAAAACCTAAATCAGTAAGACCAGATTTCACTGACATTCCAACTGTTTGACTACTACCACAGGTATTTCATAGAAATTAATAGATTCAGATTGGAAAAGTCCTTTTAGGATCATCAACTCCAACCCTAAATCTCACACTGCCAAGCCCACCACTAAACCATGTCTAAGTGCCACAGTTACCTGTCTTTTAAAACCACCATGGGTGGGGTCTTCCTGAGTAAATATTGAGCATGCTGCAGGGAAAAACATGAATCTGACAAGAAACCTCTCCCCACCACAAAAGGAGTGTGTCACTGGGACTATAGAAGATGAGAAAGGTAAAGGAAAAAAAACCCAAATGTGTAGAAGTATGTGAGAACTCCTGAGTCCCACAGTCACTTCAGGCCTGATTCTCTGAGATCAGGGAAAGACAACATTTTATCTCTGAGTACTTGGAAAAGAATATTCAAGGTAAGCAAAATGTTATTCTGCACTCTTACCAGAACATTCAGAGTTTTGTATTCTTTGTATTCTTATGAGCATCCTGGATCTATGAGATCACAGAGCTATAAATTATTAGCATGGAATACCTGGAAATCCACTCTCTTCGATCATTTTAACTGTCACACCCATGACTGAAGTACCTGCTGGAGACAACACAGCACAATCAGCTATTCTGGCACCCAGGACCTTTTAGTCCAATGTAACAGATGAGCAACTGGACCCATCTAATCACTTAGAATAATTTATACTTACATGCTCACACTATGATGGAAATACTATCCTCCCTCACTTCATGATCTCTGGAAGCTAGTACACAGGTGACCAGAATGAACTGTACCTCATCAAAATGATGGGGTCTTCTCTCAACAAAACCCTGAGGCATTTTAAACTCTGAATAACTGCTGAAACAGAATAAAGTGACACACTTTCATGCTCCACCACACTGAGATATTGCACCTTTCTTACAATTCACTTCAGAGTTTCAATTCTCTACAGTACAAAGTGTGCATTTTTCTTCAGAAAAAAAAAAATCAATCATATTTCCAAGTCGCTGCAGAAAATAAAGGTTGTACTGAACTGTGATAGTGTACACATGGTGAAGTATTTCATGATGAATTCATCCATTAACATGCAAGAGTTTAACAACCACACCCTGAAATTAGCCAAATAGATAGTAATTGAATTTTATCTTCCATACAAGATATTTAAAAGAAGCTCCAGATTTAAGTCAATCTAAATTCTCTATAAAGTGTATACTGTTAAGAAGTTTTCAGTATTGATTATACAGGAGGAAGGCATCAATCAGCAACAGCACAGTACAAGCAAATACTGACAGGTCACAGACACTTGTGGTTAGTGGACAGACAATTGGCCATATAGGATAGCTAATATGAGATTAAAATTACATTACCTGGCTTTTAGTCAGTCAATGGCCAAGCCTGGGGACCTGTTGTAGAGCAGCACTAAGTTCAAACATATTAGTTTGACTATGGACTTTATTTATTTCTTATCAAAACCCTTTCAGAGGCCATTGTTCAGATAATTTACTGGTCAGTTTATTTTGAGGCTAAAAGGAATGCCAGTTCTGTAAGAAAAAATATTTCAGCTGTCAGGGCTAGTAAGTCTGTGCAGGACATGGAACATTGATGTCAATAATCCTAAAGCTGATCATGCATTCTGCAGGATTGAGCTATATCCAGCAATTAGTGGCCACACTAAACTGTTAAACTCCTTAATTCAAGAGCAAAATTAAAGTAATGAAGCATCAACATAATAAAAATTTATTTCCTTAACTCAGAACTCAAAAATATTTTTATACACATTTAAATTTCAAATTAAAATTTAGAACTATCATTTTTATCTCAGCCGTGGGGGGAAGGAGTTCCATAAAAGTAGTTCCAAGATAAAAACTAAAATCAGCTTAAAGTTTGTCAGAATTAAGAAAAAGTTCGAAATTACTATCACTTCCCTACCTGAAAGCCACAATTTTACCTGTCTTATCATGAGAAATTTCAAAAGTTGATAGACAACAAAAGGAGAATTCTGATACATGTCATGGTGTAACGACCCACACAGAAGACAACCTCATCTAAACATACAATTTTAAAAGTACAGCTGCATTAATTAAGTTTTCCTGTCAATAATATGAATCAAATATATTTAGATATGCTTCTGGGGAAGAAAACCACTGTGTGCCACTTGTTTGCACTTCTGTTTCCAGTAGTGTTTTTAACTACTTTAAGTAGTGTCCTTGACAACTTAATTAGTGTATTTTCGATGGATAAATGTGTTTTTATTGGAATCTTTTCACAGAAATACTAGGCATGTACTAGTGAACCATTAGTAACAATCTTAAGATACTGAGAAGAAAAATAACCTTCTGAAGACTAAGTCTGCAATTACTTTGAGGGTTTTTTAAAATTTTTAGTTGGTTCCTAAGAACTACATTATCAAGCAGTATTTGTATTACAGATTCTATACAGATTTGCATTAGATGTCCTGCTTCTTGTTTTCTGTGTAGTTTGAGTTAAATCATAACTTTTAGAAAAGTATCAACAGTACTTTGATTTTGTACAAACCAAGAGCAAGGCTGAAGAAAGCCCCATAGAGAAAAAGATTTTTCCTCATGCTAAACAATCTTCCTAATAATGGGAAAGGAAGACAGAAAAAGTCTTCAGAATAATTCAGAAAAAAAGTATAATACTAACTCAAAGCTGGAAAAAAAATAAAAAAGCTAAAACATAATAATGCATGCTTTGTGTCATCCAAAAGCACCACTAGATTTACGTGCAAGTAAGTTAGCATGTTAGCCAAGTTCAAATTCCTTTAAAACCACATCTATTCAGCAGCTTTTCAGAAGATAGGTATGTTTCTGAATTTTCTGTTGCAAAATTAGTCTCAAAAAGCTGAAGTTACTCAATACTTAGACCTTGTTAGCAAAATTACACTTGAGAAAAGATCTGGTTTGTATTGTTAATACTAATTGAAATTTGGTCAAGAAATATATGTAAACAATAAGGATAATACATTTAAGGCTTAGAAAGAACACTGATAAATTCACCCCTGTCACATTAAAACATCTACATCTCCTTCATGGTCCTCCTCAGTCACTTTTAAAGACAGCACTTCTTCGTTAAGAAATAATCCACTCAGTCTTTCCTTACGGGCTTGTCTTTGTTCTTTCAGCTGTCTCTTCCGTAAGGCCTTTTGCTGGAGTTTCCGTTGCTTGGAACGTTTCTGTCAAAATACAGAAGAGACAAAACATAATATTTTGTTCTGTAAATTAGAAAAAACACCTCTAATGCTGGCAAATATAAATTAACTTCTAAAATAACATCTGCTCTGAAAAATAACAAATATGAATTCTCAGCAGTGGTGTAAACATTGATCCAAAATCATATCTAATATTAAAATATCTAGACCATCGCCCACAACTGAATTCTGAGGAATAACATTAACTAGTGATGTTGCATAGTCACGTCTTTGATTGGAGGAGTCCTTATTGCTGGAGAAATGTTACAGTCTTACATTAACAAACCCAAGATGCTGAAGAGCAAGTAAGATCTGCTCCTCGCCTTCACACTTGAAATTTTAATTATGTGGACAGAAGGAGTGCCAAAGTTTTACTTTAAATGAAACACATTTCATAGAGTCCCTTCTCACCAAGGAATCTCATGAGATATGCTCAAAAAATAAAGAAGATTCAAAAAGTCTGATGAAACTTCCAGTTGAGAAAAAACCAAAAACAATCATGGGTGTCTCTACTGTCCAGAAACTATGCCTAGATTAGGGTGATCATTCTTAAACAATTTTTTTCTTAAGTTAAACACATAAGCCCTTATTCAAACCCACTCAACTTATCCTAAACAAAAAAGATTAGAATATCTACTACATACAAACACCACAGAAGTGATGGGAAGAGCACAAGTTTAAACTTCTTATGGCCATTGGCTTAGAGAGATAACTCAGTTACTCTGTTCCTTCAGGACAAACATCCCAGGCAAGATCCCATGCCTGAGCAAGCTTCAGCAATTAAGACAGCTTAATTAATACAGATATAGATGACCAGAAAGTTTACTTTGGAATCCCGGATTCTTTCTGCAGCACTTGTGGACAAATTGCTGTCGCTGTGCGCTCGACTCATGTTGGCACTGGAGTTTGAGGCAGAGTTGGCAACGCTGGAGCCACTGCTGCTGGCTGAGCTGACCATGCTGGCACTGCTGCTGCTGGCACTGGCCCCACTCACACCACTGGTACTTGCACAGCTGTAGCTGCTCCTTTTCCAGCTCTCCCTTGCAGACCGCTGGCGAGGTCCGTGTTCCTTGATATAGTTTCTCACCTTTAGAACAGAGGCAGAAAAATTACTATAGTTTGATAAATGCTGCATTGAGATACTCCTTTTCATGGGAAAAACACAATCTGCCTATTAATAATGATGAAGTTATTGGGTGAGTTCAGTCAGGCTTTTAAAACATTTTCTTGTGGCTGCATAAATCCCAAGCCATCTCGAGTCACCCAGAGAACTTAACTATGTTAACATTTGTGATATTTCGTTATTGAAGGAAGAAAAATATGTAGCAAGGGCTGCAGGGTTCTTGTCTCTTCTGCCTGTCAGGTTTGTGACTATGTAACAATATGTTATTATTTTAACACCAAACAGGAATATCAGTCAAGTTCAACTGAATTAAGTTGTTTACTTAATGTATCAAACCCCTTTATTTTACTAGGTATACTCAAACCAAAGTCTGTGTCAATAAACAAGCAATTTTCTACTTTAAGATGACACATAAAATGTTTGAAATATGAAACAGACCAAGCTCATAAAAGCAGTGAATGTTTTCCATTTTCAACTTTATCTTCATCATTATCAGTGCCACACTGAGGAGTTCAGGTTGTATGAACACTGCACCTCTCCCCAGCAACACATCTCAGTAATTCAATGACTGAGAAAACAGTAGAATGTATCTATCCTATCAGCCAGGCACCCTTCTTCATATCTTGGAACATCTTGAAAATGCATTATTCTCTATCCCTTTCTACATGAAATTTATGGTTTTCCCCAATGAATTCCAATCTTTTGGAGTTTTAAATGCTATTTTACATTCAGTGAGCAAATGAAGAATATACAACCAGTCTTTTATGTCAAAATTTAATACATACAAATATGCTTTTGAACTCTTATTTTCTGTCACTGACAGTATAGTGTTCTAGTGTCTCTCTCTACATCTAATGATTATGCATAAAAATTGATCGCAAGTCCATAACATTTTGCAATATATAACCAGATGCTAAAACCCTGAAGTCAAATGTACAAACCTTAACTCACCTGTTTCAGCTTTTCATCTGTGAGACAGTTCAATTCAATAATGAATTCACTATCTGTAGGTGAGATCTGAGCAGTAGGATCAATAATTTTAATAATATCGAGTTGCTCTCGAAGGCCCATTTCTGTACTGACTTTGCGACTCAAATATTCAATATATTCAACCTAGGACCCAAAGAAAGGCAGGTCATTTTGAAGTATTATTGATTCTAAATGAGAGACAAAAAAAAAAGAAAAAACTGACAGAATAAAACATGCTCAAATATTGTGGTTCTACCCTTGAATATCCTTAAAAACTTAGGGAGAAAACTTGAGTAGGCACTAAACTGCCTCCTGTAGATCCAAAGGACAAGGTTTAGTTTTAAGAATCAAATAGTACTGCACAGGTCTGCATTTACACCTACAGCAAACAGGATGGCCTTTAAGTTGTGTCTTTTAATTGGAAGTTCTTCTGTACATTGCAGTTCTCACATAGGAAAAAAGTCACCTGTTCATCATTTGTCATTGCACTCCATGGAAGCTCATCAAGATTCCTATGCTTGTTTTTCTTTTTGGGAAGCAGACAGGGAGAGCTTGGAATACTCGGTATAACATCAGAAAGCACATCACTCCCACTTGCAATGTCGCTGCCAGGCAACTTGTAACATGCAAAAAGAAGAACAAAGCTTTAGAATAGACAGATTGTAAATTATTCTAACACTATTAACAATTCAAAACATACCATCAAATTAGCAAAGCATTGATTATCTCTGTACTTTAACAAACTCTTTCTAATTACTCATAAACCTGCAACACTCCCTTGAATCTTCCCGCAAACAACAAGTGCAGCAAACTCAATTCACACTATTCTGTATTTATCAATTCTTTTTTAAAATTTGTGTTTAAGAAAACAGCAGACTGAAGTTGCATTTCAACTATTTCCCTTCTCCATCAGTGGAAACTGTCCATTACAATCCAAACCTAAATCTAAACCTCCCATTTTGGAGCATAAGTCTAGTTTAAGAAAGATAATTTTCAAGTAGGTCTGTAATTCCTAACAAACTCTGTAATTACACAAGAAAATTCAATTAAAATCACTGTTGTATGTCGGGAAGCAACTGTGAACTTCAGCTAGCTACATTTATACAACTGATATGTGATTTCTGAGTGCACTTCCAGTAAAGTGGGACAGCTGGATTACTTGTGCTCAGATTCTGCCAGATAACACCATAAAGAGCTACAAAAAAGTCTTTCCAAAATCCTACAAATCCTACAAATCCAATGAAGTAAGTCGCTTGAGAAAAGCTTGTTTTAAAAAACAAAGAGTAATAAAAAAGCTGGTTACTAATCAAACATACTGTCAGCTAGCTAAAGCATAGGAAATGGCTTCGTTTCAAATCAATTGCTAAGTTTATCAGGCAATTGAAATTTCACAATTCAATAAAGCTCTGAATCTTTGGGATCCAAGCTGACCTGTTCCTACAGCCTGCATTATAAACACACACTTGTAACTTCAATGATACAACATACATTGAGACCAGCAGCTGAACTTAACCAGTCAGAAATTCAAAGCTGATATCCATACACATCTCAAGTTCACTTGCAGCTTCTGGAACAGGATTTGAGCTTTTTTGAAAGCAGTTTTCAGTTCTTGTATTGTCCTTACAAGACTCTCTACATGCTCTGATTAAGCTTTATGACAAAATTTTAAAGTATTCCCCAATAAATTCTAAAGCCCTGTGTCGCCTATTTCAAAGTTAAGTATACATCCATAGTTGATTTAAGTCTTTAATCCAAAAGTCAATTTAGGACTATAATACATTAAAAATGCATAACACATTTGAAAAACTGCTGAACGGGGAAGACTATCACAAACTAGAAATACCCAATGAGAACTGCATCCAGCACAGACTTGGGAAAAACATGTGATTCACTTTCCCATTCTGGTGAGACAAAATGAGCTCTGTACTCTTACTGGCATAGAAAAAGATAGGATAGAACTAGGCTATGGCAAGAGTTTACCTAGAAAGTATCATTAGGACCAGATATCTAGAACTAGATTCATTAGTAAGGCAGATCCTCATTACAAAGGGTTTAAGCTCATGACTACAAGAAACACATGCTGGTCCCTAAGACCAAACAACCATGATACATAAGCAACCTTCTTTGGAGAGCTGACCTTCAGTCTCCCCTCCTGATTCAGGAGGTTGGAATAAAATGAAAACATCTTCTCTATTGATCAAGATTCAGATATGTGCTCCTATGTTCAGTAGTCACAAAGAAACAAGTGCTGAGGTCACTTGGTTTGTTCAGAAGAAGAGGAGACTGAGGGGAGACTTCACAGCTGTCTACAGCTTCTTCATGAGGGGAAGAGGAGTGGGAGGCAGCAATCTCTCCTCTCTGGTGACCAGTGACAGGACACAAGGGAGCAGCAGGATGCCAGGTCAAGGGAAGTTAAAGTCAGGTATCAGGAAAAGTTCTTTCCCCAGAGGTTGGTCGGGAAGTGGAACGGGCTCCCCAGGGCAGTAGTCACAGCACCAAGCCTTGGCAGAGTTCAAGGAGTGTTTGGGCAACACTCTCAGACACAGGGTGCAATTCCTGGGCTTGTCCTGTGCAGGGCCAGGAGCTGGACTTCAGTGATCCTTGCGGGTCCCTTCCAACTCAGGATATTCTATTCTATCACATTTCAGCTACAGCTAAATCCAGCATGCAATAGTCTACACAAAATTTTACATTTCCAGCGGAACCGGTTTACCTGCCACTCAAACTCGCTGTCTGACCAATCCCAGTAGGTGCTGATAGAAGAGGAGACATCACTGCAGACACTGCCCTCGGGGAACAGATCAAAAGAGGTGAACTCCTGGTCATCCAGCAGGGAGTAACAATCATCCTGATCCCCCACGGACACGGATGAGAACAGCTCCTCGCTGCACTCCGAGCTGGCCACGCTCGTCCCACAAGATGTCAAGTTCCACCTGCAAAACAGGACAACACAATTAGAGAGCAGCAAACCTTGGTATCATGTGTCCAAAGAAATTCCTTCAAGACTTCTTAAACTATCTCCACTTTGCCACTCAGTGATAATACACATTGATTTTATTGAAATAAGTTATAATTATGTAAATTGAAGTATTCTATTTTTAAAAGTACATCAACAACACCAAAGGGAACACAGTGTTACAAATATCAAGGCAAAAATCCAGTTATATAATTACGCCTTTATTTTCATATATTACCAGTTTGTACCCCAGAACTATGACTCCTGTAGCATGGAAATTGACCCTTTTTTTTCTGCTGGTTGGGTGTGGTGCTGGTGCTGATCTAAAAATAAATTTTTCCATGTATTGGGATATTTAAACTTCCATATAAACTGGAATAAACAGAACTAAGTAATTAATCAATTTGACTTCAGGACAAATAGAAGTTAAGAAGAAATTTCAGGTTGATAGTTCTCCACAAAATTAAGGCTTAATAAGGAAACACATTATGGATCACAACTCTGAATGTCAAAAACATTGGACATGCTATTGGAATGAGACAGTGCAGGATGGGGAAGTGACCTGTGTGAAAATGATACCATGCCAGATCTAAACACTTTTTTCACCCTATTACAAAGCTAGTTGAAGTTGTTGCTAAAGGAAAGCTACTGAGAGCTCAAATTTCACAGAACAGATTTTTTACTCTAATGAGAGTAAGCCAGAATGTAACAAGCTCGTGAAATCAGTCTCCATATCTGGAACTTATTTTACATATTGGAGAAAAGTAGGTCGAGACAAATATGAGTCAGCACAGCACTGCAATATGGCCAAAACAATTTGAAAAGGGCTTCTAAAATGCACCACACAAACCCACACAATTAACTCCTGCTCCATCAGCCTGTGCACTTCAGCCTGGCTAACTAGAAAACACTCTTCTACCCAACTGAGCAATCCTATCACCAGAAAGGCTGGTCCTCAATCTCATTAAGCTGCACACCAGGCTGGCTAAATGTGTTTGTGATGGATTCACTGCCACATCTACTTGGCCAGATGTGTATTTATCCAATGTTAAAGACATTTCCAAAACTTTCCTTGTAGCAGCTTCAGGAGTTCTTGCCCTGCCTCCTTTTCTGCATCCCCTATCGATGTGCAATGCCTTGCTTGTACAGACTCTTGTGGGCAAGGCAATCCATTGGTAATGAGCAGAACAAAACTGGGGTGACACAGCACATTACTCAACATGAATACAGTTTCAGAATTCATGAAACAATAATGAAATTGGAGATAGAGTGGACAAAGTTCCCAGATATATCAAAACAAAGCATGAGGTACAGGGGCTCTAGCACCAACAAACTACACAGATACTCCAGGTACAGGCAGTCAGCCTCACCTTCTCATGGCTGGGGGGCTGCTGTGCTCCCTGGGCTGAACTGGATTAACAACAAAGGGGAACTACATTAAAATTCCTCCTGACTTCAAAAAACAGAAGCCTCATGTGAACACCACAGATTGAGCTGCACATCTGCAATGGCCTAATCAGTTCAAGACTGGGCATGTCCTTTTCCAGAGAAGTCAAAGAACCCTCGAGATGCCTGGGTAACAAACCTGGGCTTGTAAAAGGAGCAAACCTGAGCAACACACTGGGGAAGGCAACACAGAGAAGTGTACAAAATTAATTAAATGCAAATTTGGTGACTATCACACATTTATTTACAGATATTCTAAGAATATATCTTGCTGCTCATGTCTTATGACTTAAGAACTATATTATGAAAGTGTATCATGTTTGATCACGGCTCTTCATGCTGAATCATGAATATATAATTAAGAGTTTGCCCCTGTGAATGACACTTTTAAAGTGCAGTTCCCATGACTTAATATAAATTCACTCTTCATAATTGTGTCACAGAAATAGTAATAACCCATAAAAGAATCTTGCAAGACTGGAACAGGAATGTTCGAGACATGTATGTTGGAGACTGAAATCTCATAGAGCATTCTCAAAGAAAGCTATTGCTATATTCCTGCTTAATACTATATATTAACAGAATGAGGTTCTTAGGAAAGCAGGATTTTGATTTTATGAACACAACTGGAATTCCTTTGCAGAGCTGTATTTGCACTTCAAATTACATGCAGGATAATTTACCCTTAATTAGTAGCATGAGGTGGAAATGTTTCTGCAGGAGTCAGTGCCGTCACCAAGCCACCCAACTCATTCTGAATCTCTAAAGGTGTGTCTGGTGACCATGCAAGGCCTTTAAGTCTTATGAACACACCATTCTGTAGCTGCCTACAGCCCCCAAAAATCCAAAATCTCGAAAATTAAGAAACTCGGACTGAGGCCAGCAGCATCCTGATCCAAGTGGAAGGTCTCCCTCAGGCTCCCTTCCAACCGAAACCATTCTGTGATTCTACGAAAGAAAAATTAACGAGCCGACCCCGCTGACAGAGTCAAGTGCAAGGTGAGGAGCCGAGGGAAGGGCAGCGCACGGGACGCGGCGGGAGCGGGGGAAGGACGCGCGGCCCTGCCGAGCCGGCCCCGGCCCCGCCGCGCCGCCCGCCCCGGCCCCCGGCATGGCCCGGCCGCCCCGAGCCGCCCCGCGGACCTGTTGGAGTGGAAGCGGTGCAGGGGGTCGGTGCGGTGGCAGGAGGAGAGCTGGCAGCCGAAATCGCTGACGTCCAGGCAGCCCTCCTCGCTCAGGCTCAAGCTGCCGCCCCGCGGCGGGTGCTGGTGCGAGAGCAGCGGGCAGGGCTCCTCGGGGGTCAGGAACTTCTCGTACGGCTCCTCGGTCATGGCGGCGGGCGCTTGGGCGGCGGGCGCGCCTCAGGCGGCGGCGGGAGCGCCCCGGGCACACGGAGCCGGCGGCGCCGCCATCAGCGGCCGGTGCCGGACGCGCCGCGCCGCCGCGGCCGCTCCTTCCGGCGCCGCGCCCCGCAGCGCCCCCTGCCGCGGGGAGGGCGCGCGGCGGGCGGGCGGCGCGGCCATGGCGGCCGGCGCGGCGCAGGGGCTCGGCGAGGGCTGCGGCGGCGGCCGCGGGTTCCTGGGCCCGCGGGTCCCGGCCGAGGTGGAGGCCATGGCCAGGGGCGTGCAGGACGTGGGCAAGGAGATCTTCCGGCGGCTCCTCAAAGGTAGGGCCCGTGCGGGGACGCGGAGGGTTCCCGGGCAGAGCCCGTGGGCTGGAGCCGCGCTCCCCGGGGAAGCCGTGGGTGCTCCCGGGAAGGCAAGGACAGCTCTTGGAGAGCTTCCAGAGGAGAGCCGGGAGTGTGCTGGGAGGCCACCGCGGGGGAGCCGTGCGGACGGAGGTCCCTCGGTCTGTTCGGCCCGGAGGGAGAGCTCAAAGCTGGCTACAGCTTCCTCAGGAGAGGCTGCGGAGAGACAGGCACTGACGGCCGCTGGTGACCAGTGACAGGACGCAGCGCAACGCTGTGTCGGGGCACCTCGGGTTAGCTACGAGGAAAAGAGCCTTTCCCTAGCAGGTGCTGGGCACTGGAACAGGAAAGTGGTGCAGGACAGATTTCAAGGGGTGTTGGGACAATTCTCTCAGGCACACGGTGGGATTCTTGGGTATCCTGTGCAGGGCTGAGTTGGACTCGGTGACCCTTCCGGGTCCATTACAACTCGGAATGTTCTGTGATGCTGTGACAGCTGGAGGGCTGCAGCTTCCTGGAGCACTTCCCATTGCGTTTCCCAACAGGAAGCTAGAGCTGAGCTTTAAATAAAATGAGGTGCTCGATTCGTTGTATTCTACAATTCTGTGAAATCTGTGGTAATGAGGAACAGAGTTCTGCTGCTGTGGATGGCCCCCAGTGTCAGCTGAGTGCTGTAAAAGTCATTCCTCTCTCATCCCTGTGTCCCAGAGCCAGCAGCCCAGTTATTGTCAGGTTGTGTGTGGCAGTCAGAGACCCGTGGGCACCTACAGAACATGCAGGAGACAATACAGCAACCACAAGGTGAAGGTGTCCTATTGAGGTTAAGGCTGTAGGATTGATTTCATTTTTGTCTGTGAGGCTTCTCCCTGTAGTGAGAATTTTCTCAAGGCACCTTTGACCATCAAAATCAAGAGTTACACAATGGAGTAAATTAGGGTATGTAAAATAATCATGGAATAATGGAAAAGTGATTAGTGGAGCAAAAACACAGCTTGCTGGAGGGTAGCTGTTGCCCAGCATGGTGTGACCCTGGCATGTTCTCTCAGCTAACATCTTGTCAGGGATTTCCTTTTGGATTTGAAGGACTCAAAACATCTGGTAGCTGGTTTGTCTCTAAATGTGTCGCTGCACAGTAACAGAAATGAGCAATGTATTCAGGGTTAATACTTGAAATAATAAAGCTGTGTATAGGCAGAGGCATTTGGGACAGAGGTAAGTACACATGTTGAACTATATTTGCTGTCTAGTGCAGGGACATAGAGACTGAAAAGCCTTTTCAGTGCCAGGAAGCCTGACTGTATGGGTTTAATTTTGGTGTAGGTTATCACCTGCTTTCAGTTGTGCAATAAATGCTTCCTACCATAGCAGGGGCAGACAGTCCTTCAAAACCAACTGCCTGGAGCCAGGGCAGTGACCCCAGTGCAGATCCCCCTGCAGTGGGTGGGCACAGCTTCCCTCCAGTTCTGCAGAGCTGGCACAGATCTCCCATCACTGTCTGCTCTTGCTGGCCCGTGACTCATGGTTTGCAGGGCTGGAGTTTTTCCTCTGAAGGTTTTGTAATCTTTGAAGGTGTGATGGATTTCAACACTGTTTATCGACATTGCTCTCGTGCTTGCACCAGGTTCATTTTTCGAGGCTGTTGTTGTTACTCTATTGCTAAACAAAGACTAATGTAAAAAATGAGGTGCAGTTTCATGTACCTGGTCAGTTCACGATGTAAAAACTGCATGTAACAGAGTCTGAAGGTTATCCAGCCAGTGTTATTGCAGGCTCTGATACACCGTCTCAATGATTGATTTAATTTTTGTCTATGAGGCTTCTCCCTGTGGTGAGAGTTTTCTCAATGCACCTTCGACCATCAAAGTCAGGAGCTACACAGTTGAGTAAATTAAGGATCTTGCTTTGCTTTCTTATTCACAGTCACTGTTAATGCATTGGAAGGAAAAGACTGCAGGGAATCTGTCAGGCTGATTGCAGAAAGTGCTAATCTCTCAGAAGAGCAACTTGCTTTCCTCATTTCTGGCATGTACACCCTCCTCCGAGAAGCACTGAGACTACCCTTATCAACTTTCAAACAGGAAGTAAGTTCTGGGAGTACTTGGAACCTTGATAAGGTAAAAGCTGCATCAGACTCAAGTCACCTTCTAAATCTCATTTGCCTGGGTGGGAAGCTGCACATAAAAATTATTCTCCAAGTTAAGGTTGTTGGAAGAAATTGTTAAAAATATGGAACTTATTATTTCATTTTTTGGGGAGATGTAGAGTGAGCTTTTTGAAAAAATATTTAAGCTTTAGGAAATATTTTCCTGTATTTGCTTCTGCTTCAGCATCTTGTTTACGATGCATGTTTGTTTTCAGTCATAAATTAAAACCACTAAAGAAATCATAGCACAATGTTATTTCACAGGCGTCAACACTCACTCTAACTGGGTGTTCACACATACCACTCATTTTTGTCCATGCTTTTAATTTCTCATATTTGTTTGCCTCCTTTTTTCACATTTCTTCCGTAGAGGAAGGAAGATATTAAGGCCAGAACAATATAGTGGATATTGGAAGAAAGTGCAATTTCCACTTATGCTGTGGATGTTTGGTGTGAATATGTACACACCCACCATGTTCCCATCCCTATCCCTTCTTCATGGCTATTTTCTTAATTTTTCATGTTCTTTACTTTACAATTTTCTTTTCTTGTTTTTATGTGAGTGAAGCACTTCAGGGTTTCCAGTACCTCTTGTTTAAGATACAGCTTCATATTTATCCAGCCATACTGGGAAAGCTCCCATATTACAGGAAATGTAGTGGAAGTATGCTTTTAATATTCAGACCTTATCTTCTGCCATGAAACAAGTTACTGTAAAATGTATTTAAGAATGAGGGCATATAGTTACTCTAAAAGAAAAATGTTTCTGAATAGCCACATAAAAGAAGTGGCAGAGATATTGTTTTGAAAAATAAAGGCTTCCAAGATATTTAGGTGTTTAAATCACAGCTTCATTGAACACTTCTGAAAATTCTTTTCAAAATATTACCAGTCATTTCAAAACTACTGGCACTCAAGTCTAAAATTTTTGGGAAGAGATACCAAATAAGTAACCATTATTGTGTCAGTAGGTGAGAAAGGATCATTTAAGGCTGTATCAGGTAACATTTCATCTTTCTTTTCAGGTTTTTAAAGAAAATCTGAAGGAGCTCAGGTATGCCTGTTTACACCAGATCATTTAATGTTTGTTTTTTTCATAGCTTTTATGTAACTGGTTCCCCAAATTAACTTTTTTGCACAATAAAGTTGGTATAAAAATTACCTGTCAATACCTCTTAATGCATCTATTGCCAAACATCACATAAAGCTAGAGGGAAAAAAACAAGACTTGATTTAGCACTGAGCATGAGCAGTTTTATGTCGGCTGCTGGGGAGAATGGTCTGATTTATTCTGTAATGTAGGTTATGCAAATCTGAGTGACCTTCTGTCTGCCATCCCCACCTTGCCATGCAATATTTTTTTAAGCGTTTGGTAAGACAGTGGAAGCATTTCAGAAGCTAAGAACTGCCTTACTTCTGTCCTTCTTTGAAAGGTCAATGATATAACGTTCATGAAACCCTACCATCATGTTCAGCTATGATTTCTTGTGCCCATTATCCAAGAAATCATTACCTTTGTTACAGCCTTCAACAAAATCTGTATCAGTCTTCCATGAGTATATCTGAAAGGATCATATCCTAAAAGCTAGAGATCAGATGCTAGTAGTATTTATAGGTTTTCCCTTATTTCTATATTCAGTAGCATGAGAAAATAACAGCAGTTGATGTTTTCCTCTGTAGTGAAACTTCTGCACCAAGGCTTAGCTATTTTAAAACACTATTTTCACACATTTCTTTAACATTCTGATTGCTACCTAGAAGAAATAGATGTTTCCGACTCTGTCGTTTTTCATCCTTATTTTCCATCAACCTGTACAATGGCTTTCTCTTCATAAGGAATTAAATTATAAGCATGATTTGCTTTATGAGCAACTTCAGGCAAACTAAAACTGCAGATGTAATTGGAGTGTAATCAATGAAAGGTGGCATTTGGGCCACAGTGAAAGGTGCCTTGCAAGTTGATACAGTTTTGTCTGTGGCTCATTGCTGGAGTTTGGCCTGCCTTTTGTCTTGAGAGCTCAAATGCAAGCTGCTGCCTCTGCCACATCATGGAGTTCACACCCAGGTTAAAGTAGGTCAGTAAGAAACTGATGTGTTGCTTTTGGCCCAATGGGAGCTGGTGTCTTTTGAGGTGTGCACAGATGGGCCAAGTTTGATTATGGAATAATGAAGACTACTGAAAGCTCCATGCCAAATTATTTGGGTCTGAGTGAATATTCCTCTTCTGAGCAGTGGAGAAAGTTGGTATAGGCTGGGTGTATCTAGAAATGCAGACTCCTAGGTCCCTGTCCTTTGGAGGTTTTTGTCACTTAATGGTTTATTCATACATTTTACTCAGACGCTTTTCAGTCTTGATGATCTTTTTTATACCTTTTATATCTTGATACATATTTTTATCTTACTGTTCTGGTTAATAGGGCTGATCTGCAGCAGAACTGCATTTGTGCTGCTTGCAGACTTGAGTGTTTTATGTGCTGCTAGTTGCTGCTATGGTCCTGTTATTCTCACAGTATTGAAACTCTTCCTAACTTCTATCTCTGACAGTCTTACTTCCTATAAATAGCTCTCTTCACCTTGTGGCTAAAC